GTTTCAAGGTAATATCGACCTTCAGGTAAGAAAAGATCCGTCCCAAGCAGCATTGTCACTGGGACTCTATTGAGTCTGTGTGTATCAAACATCCGTCTTAGAGAAAAATGTGTTAACTAGAAACAGTTTCATCTCGTGAACAAGGCCCCAAAGGCGAGAAAAACTTTCCATGAGGTATATCGCATGAATGTCTGTCTGATATAATTCAATGTCCATCAAGGTATTAGCCGGGAAAGTAGGCTTTAACCAAAACCTTCTGTGCAGGTTGGGATAAATACATGTTTCGGGATTTAATTTCGAAATATTTTTCATTTCCCGTTTTGAGGGCTTCATTCACGAGATGAAGCTTTCATTGACTAACAAACTTTGTTCACGACATGGAGCTGTTATAACGTAACAAATCTTTTTCTCAAACAAAGTTTCCATACATTCATCGTGCCATGTTTGATGTTGGTCAAGTTGTTTACTATACGAGTAAGATCTTTTTTGCATTGACGAGAGGTAACACTCCGGAACCGGTCTGTGAGTAACCTACTTGATTGATTCCAGCGACGTAACGCTTCTGGATGAACGGAAATCATTCGCAAGACTAACCTCTGTGAAGTAAGTCGCATAAATATCTGTATTGGTTCTTTTAGGGATTTCAAACCAATTTATATAATATTAGACAATGGAAGTCTGAAATAATGAAATTCATCATAAAAATTATCTAGAATTCCTATACAGCATGGATTTTACAGTAGATCATAAGACTCACCTAAACAATTATTGTATTTTTCATTCAATATTAAAAAAACCGTGGTAAAAAACTTTAGACATTGACCGTTCCGACATCCAGTCGGTCTAATATGGATCACGTATGGATCACCTTGTAGCTAACTCCGCTCTCCGCAACTTTCCCAATGAATTCAAATTACTTTTCCGTGCCGAACTCCACCATTTCGAGGCAGTCGAGCAGCGAACGTCTTCTTTAAAAATAATCCATTTCCCGTCTCTCATTTATTATTAGTAAAGGAGAGCAAAAAGCATTTTTACATTAGCCAGAAAGCCAAGCTGAATATGTAATCAGATGCCAGTGAGTGAAGCCAAAATCAAAAGAAGTGCCCTTAAATAAACATGAGATGTTTCTCTTGAAGGATAATTTACTTTTTAAACGGGGCTGGCTATTTGATGTTTTGCTTATTCGCTATGAGTTATTGATCACCGTTTCAGCTCATTACACAACAATGGGATTCTTTAATGTATACAACGAGTATTCTGGTTTTATTACTTGTAAGTAATGGCTCGTCTGGGAGATATAGAGACTGGATCAGCAAATTAAATGGATCAGTGGATGCGAATGTTTTCGTACGATAGTAAACAATTCGAAATTCGAACAATTACTTTCCTGGCTGATGCCACGCTAGGCACTGAATTATATCCGACAGACATTTATGCAAGATAGCTCACAAAGTTTAGTCTTGTAAATGCTTTTTCTCCATTCAGCAGCAAAACCACGCTGAAATCGATCGAGTATATCACTTACAGACCAATTTCGAGGTAATATCGACCATCAGGTGAGGAAAGATCCATCCCAAACAGCATTGTCACTTTGTCACTGGGACTCTACTAAGTCTGTGTGTATCAAACATCCGTCTTAGAGAAAAATTTGTTAACTAGTAACAGCTTCATCTCGTGAACAAGGCCCCAGAAGCGAGAAAAATTTTTTCCATGAGGTATATCGCATGAATGTCTGTCTGATATAATTCAATGTCCATCGAGGTATTAGCCGGGAAAGTAGGCTTCCACCAGAACCTACTGTGCAGGTTGGGAGAGATGAATGTTTCGGGATTTCATTTCTAAATATTTTTCATTTCCCGTTTTAAGGGCTTCATTCACGAGATGAAGCTTTTATCGACTAACAAACTTTGTTCACGACATGGAGCTGTTATAACGTAACGAATCTTTTTCTCAAACAAAGTTTCCATACATTCATCATGCCATGTTTGATGTTGGTCAAGTTGTTTACTATACGAGTAAGATCTTTTTTGCATTGACGAGAGATAACTCTCCGAAACCGGTCTGTAGGTGATCTACTTGATTGATTCCAGCGACGTAACGCTTCTGGATGAACGGAAATCATTCGCAAGACTAACCTCTGTGAAGTAAGTCGCATAAATATCTATCGTATAAAATTCAATATCCAGGTGGGCGATTAGTTGTTTTTTGACAGGCTTTTACCGGATCCTACTTGGTAGGAACTTTGGGAGAGATGATTGTTTCGAAAATACATTCTGAAATGAAGGGTCTTTCAACAGGCACTTCCGAACTTCGACAATTGAAAATATCCATCTTGTTGAAGCTACAGCGGTGAAATTAGCTGTCATTTGTTCAGAGGACTATTAGCAATGTGGTAGATATATTTGCGTTCACTGGTTCAGTGAACAACCGACCAACACCTGTACGTTGACGAAACACCAAATCTGCAGAAAACATCGCCAATGTCTACGAAAATGTGCAGGATATCTGTATCTGTAGAGTAGGAAGGGTGAGTGTAAGCCTACAGCACTTAGGCCACATGTATCCCATTGTACATACTCCCGAGGAGTTGTCCTCCTAGGTCATCGGCCATCCTGTTCTTTCCAGGAAGGTGGACAGGTCACTGGGAGACATCTCCTTTATATCGGCAGGTGTAGGCCAAGACTCGCCGAACACACATTCTCTTATTGACGATAACTCAGGGCACTTGCATATAACATGCATGACAGTTTCATCTTCCTGTTCATACATCCTGCATAGAGGTGTGTCCACTAGCCCCATATTATGGAGATATTTCCTTAGTTGACAATGACCTGTCAGAAATCCTACTGTTAAGCGTAGATTTTTCCTGGTCATCATCAGATATTTCTTTGGCGCCAGCTTCTCAGAGTCGCCCAGGGTGATCCTGGCAAGATTGCATCTTCTGATTTCATCCCATTTCTTTCGGAATTGAGCATGAGTGTAACATTTGACGAGTTTAGCAATTGTTCAAAATTGGGTTCAAAATTCTCAGTCCAACCGCTTCCTTGGCTAAAGAGTCGGCAATGCGATTACCTTTACTCCTGTCGTGCCCTTTAACCCACCTCAGGATAATGTTATTATCTATCGAGGCTTTGGATAAATCTTGGTGGCACTCTAGTACTAGCCCTTTGCCTGCTGTCAGTGCAGATTGTTATGTTTTTGCCAGAAATGCCTTATTTCTTTTGTGGCGATTAGGATACCAGCCAATTCTGTTTCGATCACGCTGATATTTTTCCCCATTCCCCACTTAATCCTTAGGCTTAGTGATCTGGAGCATTCTTTGGTTTTTGAGCCGTCTGTTATATGCGTATTGCAATTGTAGCATCTGAATCTGTGTTCTGTTTCATTTGTATTTTGTAGGGTTTATTGAACACAAACCTGGGTTCAATTGCATCACTGGTTGCTTGCAGCAGAGGTTGCGCAGTAAGCACTTCTCGCCATAGGCCCAGCCTCAATTGACCCATTCCTACTTCGAGGTACACAAAAGCCGTTCGCAATTATAACATGGCCATTAACTCAACTTGCTTAACGTACAGGTCCAGAGGGATCAGACCCGTAATTGCCGCGGTTGGTGTTGTTCTCATGGCTCCTGTGATGTTTAAACAAGCCAGTCGCTGTATTTGATATAATTTTTGGATGGCTGTTTCTTGTAGAACTTTTGGTCTCCATGTAATGGCTCCGTACGTTAACATAGGTCTTATTATTGCAGTGTAGATCCAGGTGATCACACGGGGTGAAAGACCTCATGCGCGTCCCACTGTCCTCCGACATTGCTCAGAAGCCACATATGCTCTTTTTGCTCTACTCTGTAGGTGAGAGTTCCATGTTAGCTTCCTGTCGAGGATAGTACCAAGGTATTTCACCTCTTCAGAGAAATTAAGTTTGCTTTTGAAGATTTTGGGAGGTTTTAAACGCGATAAACTTCTTTTCCTGGTGATAATGTGACAAATTCAAAGTATGCAGGATAATCCAAGGCAGTCGATTTGGGGTTGCTCACAAGAACTTGGCCTTTCGCAAACCACAATTTGGCGAATTTTGCGTCGTGACTGGGGCCTGACCCAGGAACTGAAGGTAAGCGATCTTCACATCACCTCCACAGACGTGGAGGTGATGTGAAGGAGGAACTGGTCTGTGAAGTGAACTGTGAAGTGGAACTGTGAAGGAGGAACTGGTCACCGAGATCGTGCGATTCGATCCCGTTAGACTTCTTTTGTGAGGATCGCAGGTGTACAGTGGTCCTAAGGCCAGCCTGATTCATGCGCCAGAGTCACGGAAAATTGAATGTTTCGGATGAGCTCCACCCAGAGGAGCTTTGGCGAACATTTGAACATAATGACATCAATATTTCTTTCGAACTAATGGAAGATGTCTATGATATCTCACACACACTTTGTATAGAGTATTCAAAATCCCTAATGCATTCATCAAATTTGATTTCTGTTAAGGAGTAATATTTGTGGTAAATACAAAAATTATTCAAATTTATAGAGTTACATTCTTAGGAGTGATTAATTCTTGGGAAAGAAAGTTTTTGACTTTCTACTACTCCATCTGGATACAAAAAAGTGTGGGAATCATCCAAAGAAAGGAAAGAAACAATCAATTTCATAGGAAGTAACTCCATATATAGATGTGTAAAGAAGTAACTTTCAGACACAATCTAGATGAAAAAGCCCTTCCTGAAACAGCTACTTCTTTGCATTTTACACATCCATGTATAGAGTTATTTCTTTTAAAGTCGATTGCTTCCTTCCTTTCTTTTGAAGATTCCCACATTTTCTGTATCAAGATGGAGTAGTAAAAAGCCAAAATCTTTCGTTTCCAACAAAAACCGTATATTGAATTAATTTCATCTTTATTTCATCATCATTTGATCTTCATTGTTATGATAAAACTACATGTATTCCGTTATCTGATGGCAGTATTCAGACAAGCGTGAAATGAATAGGAGAATACAAGAGTTCTTGTAAGTGGCATTTACTTTATGAATATTTTTCAAGGATCATCATTACAAATAAATACAACTTATAATATACATTTACAATAGGAACTACACACCGTTTGGCTGAAATTTCTCGCCCCCATTAAAATTTATCTAATGCTGATCTCTGTGAAAATTTTGAATTGAGTCAAAGAAGTCACACATAAAATCCGAAATTACTGTCATTTGAAATATCACAAACATTCATCACATAGGGTTCTCATCGAAATGTGGCCACGTTTTAATAACGTCAAACAACTTGTCGCCTGGGCATAGAGTCACACTACCTTGTCGGTGTCCAATCAAGTGGTAGTTTTCGGTTATTCGGTTGTTTCTCTGGGCGCATTCGATGAATTTTTTCAGAACTTCGACTTGAACATGAGGAGGCTCCACATCTGAAATAAAAATATTGCATTGAGTTCATCAATTTCATTTCAAATTTCATTTGAAGAGCATTTTTATTATTAGGAAGGAAAGATTTTGGGATTTCTATTTCTCCATCTTTTTATAACAAAAAATGTGGTAAACTCAATTGCTTTCTTTCATTCTTTGAGAGTTATTTACATTTTTGCTAAAACTTTTTTTACTAAAATAATCTCTTCTGAAATACACCCCTCTTTCATTTTATATCGATTATACAATTGAAATATCGTTGAAGTATCTAAGAAAATAGTGTAGTATGTAGTAACTAGGTTAGGTTAGGTTAGGTATATCTGAAGTGAGTGGGTCTATTCAACCCTTCACCGCAACCTGCAAAGGTTTATTGTGACCCACATATATTCACACTCGACCAAATAAACCCAGCTTCTTAACGAACTGTATGGTTGATGGTCTTTCGGATTAGATGGTAAGAGTACGACTCTGCCGAACTCTAAAAACCTGATTCGGTCCCCAACAGGCAGGCACGAAGTATGTGCTCTGCTGTTTCATCATTTTCCAAACAGAGGCAGCACACACTGTCTTTCGACAGTTCGAGTCTCTGCATATGATAATTCAAATGACAGTGACCTGTAAGAAGGCCTGCTAGACATCGTAGTTCATCCCTACCGTAGTCCAACAACTGTTTGGTATCAAGCTTCGAAGGGTGAATAAACGCCTTGGAGTGAGTCAATCCTGGAAGATTCTGCCAGAAGTCCATAAATCTTCTTGCCATCCAGGTGTTCAATGTTTATTTGGCAAAGTCTAAAGTGATGCCAATGACAGGTCCTGGTCCGATTAAGTACCCTCCTTTGCAAGGGAGTCAGCAGCTTCATTGCCTTTCAGGCCAGTATGGCCAGGAATCCACACCAGAGACAATCTGTTAAGTCTTCCTATCGAGAAGAGTCGTTTTTGGCAATTTGCTACCAATTCAGATGTTGCTCGGTAGGAACCAAGAGCTTCCACCTCCGCTTGACTGTACGAAAATATTTTTATTGACTTGTGTAGGTATGAGGTTGGATTTATCCAATCTCTTCGAATTTCCCCTTGAAATTCAGTCGCATAAGTTCCTAGGCAGGTTGATGTCTCTGCCATGGGTCTGCGACTAAAAACACCTGCACCAGAACCGGAAGATGTTTTTCATCCATTTGTGAACCAACAACTATCTGCTCTCAATATTTCTTTCCCCCAGAGGATCCAGTCTTCTCTACTCGAGAATAGTACTTTATAAGGCAGTTCGTAGTTGACAGTTGGAGGCTTGAAGTCAGAGGTCATTTCTAGAATGCTGTGACTTTCAGTGTCAACCAACAGTCTGTTGCACTCTGCATTAAATTGATTTGTGCAATAGGCATGTGTACAAGTCTTTATGCAGACCATCTAGTCTCTCTCTCCAGAAGAATGTGATGAGGAGGTAGATCCAGAAAGTTCTCCATGGTCGCAGACGGTGTGGTACTTATGGCACCACTGATAGCCAGACAAGCCTATATCTGTGAGCCAGAGAGCTTCGCCTGGGCCGTTATCTGTAAAGCTTCGGCTACCGGGCAATTGCACCATAAGTGATCATTGGTCTGACAATCATCACATAAATCCCATTGACCTAAACCCCAAGGTTAACCACAAATCCTTCGACACGTGCACAGAGACAATCTGGCCTTGTTTAAAACTTTTTCCAAGTGAGCGTTCCAGGTGAGTCTTTTATCAAGGACAATGCTCAGTATATTATAATTGAGGAAACACCTGTAAACCCAAATAAAAAAAGATTTCTCGAAAAGTAACCCAATATTAACGTCTTTACGCATATTTTGTAAAATATAAATTATTCAACGAATCTCAGTTTAGTTTTCGTAAGTACCGCTCTACAGCAGAGGCAGTTCTCAATGTAGTGAGTCAGTCAGTAACAATAATTGCATTTCGAATTCAAAACCCGTTGAACATAGTGTTCCCCAAGGATCAGTATTGGGGCCACTTCTGTTCATAATTTACGTATATGACATTAGTAATTTCATGCATCCATATAAATCTGTTTTGTTTGCCGATGACACTACATTTATTTACTCTGACAAAAATTCTATTGAACTATCTAGAATATCAAAGGAAGTCGATAAAAAGGCAGAAAGTTGGTTCGTGTCGAATCGACTCAAACTGAATACAGATAAAACGCAACAGTTGCAGTTTTCAACAAGCTCTGCCGCTACATCAAGTGCAAACAGTGTTAAATTACTTGGGTTAAAAATTATCTAGAACTATTTTTTTATTGCGTCAGTTGAGAAATATAACTAGTTTCGATACACTGAAAATAACATATTTCTTCCTCTCGATGTTATACTATGATGTTATACTCTGGGGCAACTCAACTGGGGTTGTATAAATTTTTAAATTGCAGAAAAAAGCTCTTAGAATAATAAATCTGGTTATAGGGATCATTGTCTATATCTGTTTTTGAAATTGAGAATAATGCCATCGCCACATCATTTTTGTACAACGTTCTCATAGAAATTCATGAAAAATCAACTTCATTAATCAAACAATCATACCTTCACGACTATGATACCAGACATTGTAATAAATTTCGGACAAACCGCTATCATTTGAGTAAATCAAAAAAGAACACAGTGAATTTCAACCTCTACAACTATCTTCCCTACAGTTTCCAATTCCAATTCAAGAATACGTTGATCANATATATCGAATATTCAATTTTTTCAAATTGATGTAGGAATACATTTCGAAATAAATTTCGAAATATTCATCTCCACCAACTACTTACACAGTAGGATGTGGTAAACGTCTGTCAAAAAACAACTACTTCCATGGCTAAAACCAAGCTGGATATTGAATTATATCCGACAGACGATTATGTAAGATCCAGCAGGCGGACCATACTGAAGTTATTCAAGTAGATCACCTGCAGACCGCGGTTTCGAGGTATTATCTCTCGTCAGTGCAGGAAATATCTTACGCAGACAGCAAAGTGTCTGGGACTCAATTAATTTCAACACGGCTCCACTACATCTGTTTAAAAAAAACTGTTGTTTCGTTAACCAGTTGTCGCACCCCTACGAACGACAACCCTTAGAAGGCGAAACTTGTGCGAGCTAAGGATTAACGAGGTCTCACCTTATAACGTGTGATTCCTAACACGGCTTGGACGATAGCAAGTGAAAATCGATCGTTCAGACTGGGACTTGAACCACCGACCAACACGGCAGTCAATTCGAGTGGGTGAACAAGCACCCACGTCGAACCGCCTGGCTACCGACATATATGAAACCTTCGTCTGAGAGGACGATTGTTAACTAGTAACAACTCCATCTCGTGAATAAATCCCCAAGCGGGGAAAAAACCTCCCATATCGTTACTGTTAGTGCAAAAGGTCGTATGTAAAAATTATCCATTTTCATTTTATTTGTGCTAAAAGTGGCATTTTTCAGTCTGCAACTGCTACAAAAATATTGTATGTCATCAGTTGATCTATTATAAGTCATGGTTAAATGTAAAAATGTCGTATGTTATGCAGCAGATTATTTTACTGCAAAAAGTCCTATGTAGAATATAACCTTGATGGACAACAAAGAGGTTAGGTTACTCACACGTGCTGTACGGAAGTTTAAGGACCTCCAAGACCTGAAAACTTGCCTTGAAGAACATTATCATTTTTTTATGATAATCTCCGTCACAGCAATTGCTCAGAAACAATGTGCCCTCACATCATTACCCAATGAATCCGATCATTTTGAAAATTTATGATTTAATAGTTTTAAGTCATTTCTACCTTCCTCATCAGAAACATGAAAGTTGAAATCTGAAACAACTCCAACTCTCACGTTTCTGATACGTAAGGTAAAAATACATCGAAACTTATCTGATAATCTTTTTCAATATCTATATTAAATCAATTGTATAATTTTTCATTTTCTTTGTACAAAATTTTTAATAAAAGTTGTTTATAAATTACAAAGAGTCCTATGTTGATATGCAAAAAGTCGTATGTCAAATTAAGTTCCAATTTAAAACTGAAAAAAGTCGTATGTTACTGTAATTATCTTATTTATCAATTCAATGTTTTAAAAGTTACATTATACGTTAGTTACTATGGAAACAGCAGGCAGAAATATAATAATAAATCATACTAATAAACCATACGGAAATAATCAGTTTTTATGCTCCCCTGTAAAGTAATTAACTTTTACATACGACTTTTTGCACTAACGGTAACGATATATCAAAACTCTAACAGAAATCAAACGTGAAAACTATCGAGGAGAGATACATACGTATGTTTTTCTCCTCGATAGTTTAAACTTTTGATTTCTCTTGGAGAACAAGCCTAAGTGAATGACAACGATGACATGTCCCCTCACGAAGACATCATCAATGTGTTTGTCTTTGAACTTTAACCTCGAATATGAAAGATGATCGATAAAGTTGTCAACTGACTTTGAAATACCATACTTGTATCAACCATTCTAGCAACTACACTTGCTGGCGGTTGTCGATAACTGAATGGACACAGGAGGGAGGATAAAATAATTTCCTTGGAGCAGTCTCGCCTACAAACTCCTATCATGTATCTAGAAGATCGGTGATAAATTATCGTTTATTGGGACTATTCTGTAAGTGACCATAGTTAAATCTACTCACCTTGAAAATCCCCAAGAAGGCATATTCCTAAGCTTCTTGCGTTATATTTGACGACGTGAGCACCATGCCTATTCCATCCTCTTCCTTCATAAACTCTACCATCTCCTCCAATCTGTAAGGAAAATGAAAGTAATGAAGTTGCAGGAATTGAAGATGAAAGAAATGTTGAAGATGGTTAAGAAAGAGAAAATTTTTTGTTTTGGGAACAAGAATAATCTCCTTCCAGTTAAAAATATGAGTCGTTGTTTTCGAAATGTTCGCCAAAAACTAGAATGATCAATTTTTGTAGCCACTGTTATTACAAATTCAGCTATGTACTACACATATGTTTTGCGGCGTTTTTCTCATCATCATCATACATACTGGTCAGAGCTACTTAAAAAAGTAGGGACCAACATTTTTTCATAAACTACACCTTACGATTTGATCTCCACAAACTTCATTTGATAAATATATCACATGTTTCGCTAACACAGTAGCTTCTTCAACAGTTATTTGATTACTACAACTTGCTTCTTACGCTAATATTTATACACTGTGTCCGTAAAGTATGGAACAAATTCATTTTTAGCTAATCAGGTCATTTTAAGAAATAATCCTGAAACACGTCGATTTTTGATGTTAATTTACCGTATTTTAAAATAATAATCTAATATACTGGGTGAATTACGTTCGAGTAATGACGTCACCGTCATTTTTTTTAAATGGAACACTCCCATTTTGTCTCAATTTTCGAATTACTCTTGCTGAGCTGATTCCAAAAATGTATCACATGTTGATTCCAATTGGTACAGGGTGGACAAAAATACAGTAGTTGTGTGTGTGTGCTAATAAAGAAACGCGTAACATTCTTTATTAGGCAAATTAACAATATTATCAAAAATACTTATTGTCTAGCGGACAGAATATGCTGGAATACATGAGTTTATATTAAATGTTCGAACTGCAGCCCTTGCTGTATTTGACAGTAACCCAAACGGTGCACAAATTCTTGTTGAACCTTGTGTATGGTTTCTTGCGTAATATTTATTGTCTAGCGGTAATTGGTTTAAATGTAAAACCCCGTAGTTTGCTACATGTTTAGAGTAATAAAAATGAGCTGTTTCCAAACATGTTTGGTACTTGTGGTCTAGCAGACAGAATATGAAAGAAATTATTTCTTATCTACATTTANTACTTTACGGACACAGTATATACCACAGGTAACTACAATTGAGACTTTCCCCATCAAATTACCTAAACCTCTACAATTTTAATATACCAGAGGTACCACTTCAATTATGATTATCTGAAGCACCTTACCTCACTTCTACCACCAATAATGGTGATTGTCATCCATTAGAATATTTGAATTTTGAAGTTTATTAATTTCCATTGCTCTCAAATGATTCAATTTCAAATCTTCATTTTTTATGTGTAAAATTTCGAACTTTTCTTTAAAGATATGATTTTCTTCTAAAAGACGATTTGAATATGTTGAACTTGTTTTCTTATTTACATAGATCATATGATGTTCCTGAATTCGATTCCTAAATGTTCTGCCAGTTTGACCAATATATACCTTAGGACACGTTCCACAGAGAAACATTAACTAATCTGTGAATCATGCTGTTATAAGCTGCTATTTTTGTTGATATGGATGGGTAGAATCGTAATGTATAGTAATATCCATATAGGACCGTTTGAAGAATCGTGTTTGTTGTTCATTCTACTAATTGTTAAGTTCAAGAAATTGATTGAGTTTGAGTTGTCTGCTTCTACTAAAATAGTGAATTTAATATTTTCATGAATTTTGTTAATATCCCTATGAAAATTATCTAATTGTCTCTTAGTGCCTGTAAAACATACCAAAGCGTTATCAACATTTCTATGCCAATAGAAATTATCAATTAAAGAATGTTTAAAAATCGACTTCCCTAGGTTATCCATGAAAATTTCCGCAAGTAAGGGGCTTAACGGTTTCCAGAATTAAACCTTTTGAAGAGGAATACATATTGTTGTTGAATTGAAAAAAAAATTGTTTGAGACATAACGACAGAAGGTCAATGATTTCTTGTTTTAAAACTGGGTTCACTCTATTTTTATCTAATAATTCTATTACCATTACCATTATTTTTCGGGTCTTGAACACAAAGCTATACATAAACTCCACATATCGGAAGAACATGTAATAAACCAAGTAACAAATTGAAAAAATTTATTGCCAAAATATTCCTAACAACCTACGTCGTTTCCGAAATTTCATTGAGTATTCGAATTTCAATTATTGATAAGGTTGAAGACTAGGTACGTACCAGAAAAGTGTATCCTATGTCGTCCCACCTGTTGTCCACCATATGAAATCGCTGAATGCTTTTCACAAGGCTTTTACATTCTTCCTCTGTTAAACAGGATTTGGTAGCGGAATGGTGCACAACCACAAAAGGAGGGGGGTTTTCTCTCAAGGTCCTATTGCTGAGTGGAGCTGCGGCATTCCACTCCTGTCTTGTAATCGGAACCGGACAATCATTGTGGCCTGGAAATATGAAAAGTAAAGTTGGGAAATAGTTTTCATCAATTGAGAATTGACATNCTAAATTTTTTCAAAATTACAACTTCAAACACAAAAGTTTGTTGAGTTCCGACTTCAAACTTGAAATTTCATTAAATTTCGAGTTCAAATTTAAAATTCTGATGAAACACGACTTTGACACAATATTGGTTCAAAACTGAAAATCAGTCTTACAATATGTATGAATTTGAGAATAGAGAATGTAGTAGAATTTGTCCCTGTTTTTCTAATCCTGGAAACAAATCTCCTTATGTTTGTTGCACATTTTTCAACGTAATAAAGTTTCATTGCTCACTTTGGTATAAACATAGTTTGAAGAAACTTTCTTTCTATATTTGTATGACATTCAAATGCTGACTGATGATTTTTTTCACTGAAATCAGAACTGAAAATTAGTTTCTAATTCATATAATAGCAAACACGTAGATCAACATATAACCCCCTTAGCACACAAACTATTTTAAATTCTAAATAACTTCATGTACACTCATATCTACTCACATTTCACTAAATAGTTGCATATCAATAAAATCACAGCAACCGGTAAACAATCGAGGTGGCTCATTTGGATGATACTGAACTTGAATCGAATTGTTTTTTTACACTTATGCATAGGTATTTATCCAACAGTTCATTTGCTATTGAAGATGGTGATTCCCCTCACATAATCTGTTTGTAAAAGTATATAGTTTTATTACTGAAGGTCGTTGGGTTCATCCAAACTGCTTGATAAGCAAATGTGGAATACCAGTTTTGGGTTTCTCATGAACAGCTGACGTAACGAAATTTCGATGTGGTTACTCATAAATAATGATGTATTATAATGAGGAGCAATTGAAATATTATTGTTACAAAATATGTCTCCAATTATAAGACTTCACCAAACAACAACCAATAAAAAAGCAATTAATACGTCATAGTGGTGGGGGGAGGCTTAGAACCGGCTCAAATCTCCTACTAGTATGTGCTCTGCTGTTTCATCATTTTTCAAACAGAGGCGACACACTGTCTTTCGACAGTCCGAGTCTCTGCATATGATGATTCAAATGACAGTGACCTGTAAGTAGGCTTGCTAGACATCGTAATTCATCCCTACCGTAGTCCAACAACTGTTTGGTATCAAGCTTCGGAGGGTGAATAAACGCCATGGAGTGAGCCAATTCTGTAAGATTCTGCCAGAAGTCCATAAATCTACTTGCCATCCAGGTGTTTAATGTTTGTTTGGCAAAGCCTGAAGCGATGCCAACGACAGGTTCTGGTTCGATTAAGTACCTTCCTTTGCAAGGGAGTCAGCAGCTTCATTGCCTTTCAGGCCAGTATGGCCAGGAATCCAGAGCAGAGACAATCTGTTAAGTCTTCCTATTAAGGACAGTCATTTTTGGCAATTTGCTACCAATTCAGACTCGGTAGGAACCAAGACTTCCACCTCCGCTTGACTGTACGAGAATATATTTATTGACTTGTATAGGTATGAGGTTGAATTTATCCGATCTTTTCGAATTTCCCCTTGAAATTCAGTCGCATATGTTCCTAGGCAGGTTGATGTCTCTGCACCAGAACCGAAATGTGTTTTTGGCCAACTGTCAACCAACAACTATCTGCTCTCAATATTTCTTTCTCCCAGAGAATCGAGTCTTCTCTACTCGAGAATAGTACTTCATAAGGCAGTTCGTAGTTGGAGGCATGAAGTCAGAGGTCATTTCCAGAATGCTGTGACTTTCAAGAATGTGGTGAGGAGGTAGATCCAGAAATAGCTGAATGGCCTCAGATGGTGTGGTACTTATGACACCACTGATAGCCAGACAAGCCTATATCTGTAAGCTAGAGAGCTTCGCCTGGGCCGTTATCTGTAGAGCTTTGGCCACCGGGCACCATAAGTGATCATTGGTCTGACAATCATCACATAAATCCCATTGACCTAAACCACAAGTTCAACCACAAATCCTTCGACACGTCCATAGAGACAATCTGGACTTGTTTGAAACTTTTTCCAAGTGAGCGTTCCAGGTGAGTCTTTTATCAAGGACAATGCTCACTATATTATAATTGAGGAACCCAAATAAAAAAGATTTCTCGAAAAGTAACTCAAAAGGGATTATTGATGCTAAAAAAAGCTCTAGCAAATGTAGAGTGGGGTTTTAACAAAACAATTATTGATGTTGAAACTCTATCTTTTCAACTTGTAAATACTTATAGTGATTTGGTCAAAGAAATATTTCCAATAAAAACATATAACTCAAAAAACGGATTTGCACCAGCAATGTGGTATGATGAATCCCTGAAAAGTATGAGGAAGTCAAATTCGAAACTTGTAGAACTAACGGATTATACAACATATAGAACTTTGAAGAAAGATTATATTGCCCAGCTTGAACATTCTAAGAAATTAGCTTATGACAGTTATATTTATTTGGCGGGAAATAAGGCAAAAGCATGTTTGCAAATAATAAATTTTGAGAGAAACAAAAACAACAATAATTTAACTCATACTAATATATCTCATGACCATTTCTAATATATCTCTTGACCATTTCAATGACTTTTTTGTTAATATTGCTGACAATATCATTCAATCTCTACCAACGGTATGCAAAGAGAATTTACTGAATTTCAGAAATTTTCCAGCCCCTTGCAGCTCATTTTTTCTGGGCCCAGTGACCGTTCAAAGTGCAATTAGCTCACTCAATAATTCCAAATGCTTAGACGCTAATGAACTGAATAATGATATCATCAAAGAGACCTCCCAGATATTGTTGCAGCCTCTTTCTAAATTGATAAACGTAATATTCACAAGTGGTATTTATCCTGACGCATTTGAGCTATCAAAAGTTNGGTGAAATTAGTGATATAAGGAAATTTTTATTTTCTGGGAAATAAAGATTCTGGCTTTCTTCATTTTTATTTAAAAAAAATTGGAATCTTTCGAAGAAAGAAAGTTATTCTCTAATACCCTTTTGAATTAGAACAAGATTTCTATGGCTGGGATTGAATCAAATAAGCGAATGAATGTGATCGACGTTACGAGTGGATTTAACTCAGTCGTGACGTAAAGTCCTAATGTTATGACTTATTTGATTTCTCCATCTTGTAATGTTATCCAGATTGGTGCTGAAGAGACAAAGAGGCAAGTGTCTCATTCCGAAACATCGGATATCTGTCATTGAGTATGACTATACTATATTGCGTAGCAATCTTGTGAATTATATCTGATTCAAGATAGAGAAGAACAAAGCCAAAATCTTTCGGCAATATTCCGCATAATAGCCATTTTAAGTGGTCACTGTGTGGTTAGAGAGTGCGTAAAAATTATCATTACTGCAAGAAGCTAACATTGCCCACTGCATAACTACTGATGACTAAACCTTCCAGGGAAAGTTCATGTTCACATTAATGTTAGAGAAAACCTCTTCAAATATATCAGCGAAATTTGAAGTAATTTATTGGTTCTTTCGTGCATTTACACTTCTAACGGCTTCTCGTCGTTATAAATTCAGCTATTTCAAAAAAGTTCGAGATCGAATATTCAATTTTTTCAAATTGATGTAGAAATACATTTCGAAATAAATTTCGAAATATTCATCTCCACCAACTACTTACACAATAGGATGTGGTAAACGTCTGTCGAAAAACAACTACTTCCATGGCTGAAACCATGCTGGATATTGAATTATATTCGACAGACATTTATGTAAGACTCCTCACAGAGGCTAGTCTCGCAGATATTTCTCGTTCATCCAGCAGCCGGACCATACTGAAATTATTCAAGTAGATCACCTGCAGACCGCGGTTTCGAGGTATTACCTCTCGTCAGTACAGGAAAGATCTTACCCAGACAGCAAATTGTGTAGGACTTAATTAATTTCAACACGGCTCCACTATATGTGTTTAAAAAAACTGTTGTTTCGTTAACCAGCTGTCGCACCCCTACGAACGACAACCCTCATAAGGCGAAACTTGTGCGAGCTAAGGATTAACGAGGTCTCACCTCATAACGTGTGATTCCTAACACGGGTTGAACGATAGCAAGTGAAAATCGATCGTTCAGACTGGGACTTAAACCACCGACCAACACGGCAGTCAATTCGAGTGGGTGAACAAAGCACCCACGTCGAACCGCCTGGCTACCGACATATATGAAACCTTCGTCTGAGATGACGATTGTTAACTAGTAACAACTCCATCTCGTGAACAAATCCCCAAGCGGGGAAGAAACCTCCCATATCGTTACTGTTAGTGCAAAAGGTCGTATGTAAAAATTGTCTATTTTCATTTTATTTATGCTGAAGGTGGCATTTTGCAGTCTGCAACGGCTACAAAAATATTGTATGTCATCAGCTGATTATAAGCTATTATAAGCTATGGTTAAATGTAAAAAAGTCGTATGTTATGCAGCAGATTTTTTTACCGCAAAAAGTCGTATGTAGAATAAAACCTTGATGGACAACAGAGAGGTTAGGTTACTCACACATGCTGTACGGAAGTTTAAGGACCTCCAAGACCTGAAAACTTGCCTCGAAGAAGATTATCATTTTTTTATGATAATCTCCGTCACAGCAATTGCTCAGAAACAATGTGCCCTCACATTATTACCCAATGAATCTGATCATTTTGAAGATTTATGATTTAATAGTTTCAAATCATTTCTACCTTCCTCATCAGAAACATGAAAGCTGAAATCTGAAACAACTCCAACTCTCACGTTTCTGATACATAAGCTAAAAATACGTCGAAACTTAAATGATAATCTTTTTCAATATTTATTAAATCAATTGTATAATTTTTCACTTTCTTTGTACAAAATTTTCAAATAAAGTTGTGTATAAATTTTTGAAGTCAAATATTTTTTTTAATCTGTTTATTTGGACGTTTAAATATGGTTTTAAATTGTCCTTGGTTTGATAATTAATCGCATCCAAATTTGGGATCAATGTGTTTTTAAACCATTCCTCAAAAATATTTGCTTCCATCTTCTTATGATAGTCAACCTTGCAGTCCTCAAGTTTTTTCCACATAATTTCAAAGAATTCGAAACCCATCCTTTAGTTCCTCCTCAATGCACAATGATTAGTCGCGATCCTTTGTTTGCGGGCATGTTAGGGGTACACATTCTCGAACCATCATTCCACCCTTTCGTAACTGTGTCATGAGTGTCATACCAAGTTTCGACCAAATAGAAAATTTGCCGTTGTTCTTGTCTATATTTAGTAATTTGTTCTAAGTATTTGTTACGCAATTCCAGTATTCTTCTGCTTTCCATAACTGCTTGACGTTTGTTTATTTCAAATCTAAATCCTAGTTTTTTTACCCAATTCTGGAGAGTTTTGTCACAGCAGTTTTATGGCAGGAATTATTCAATTTCTTCCTTGTTGGTATCTCATTGCTTTTGTAACAGTCGTATCTTGTTTTTTTCAATGATTTCATTAGATGCACATCTGAAGGTTTTGGTAATTCCGTATCACATCTCGTCTTGCATTCATAAGGTTTCTTTTGAACTATTTTACGTACAGTTGAGAAATGAATTTCGGTCAAATATGATGTTGCTTGTAATAGTTTCCCTTGAAACCAAACTTGAGATGTAGATTCTTATATACATTGAAACATACTCTGTGTGTTTTAATATTCAAATGCATCCGAACCTTATTCACTGGTATATC